TTTTTTTTTTAACAAATTAAAAAAAAATTATAAAACAAATACTTTAACTTGTAAATTCTATAAAATATAAAAATTATTGCAGATATCATCCCGAAGGATGCGTTTTATTAAATAATAATCGACACTTCGTTCTTAACGACCGACTGTATAGACGCTGGGCTGCATTATGCGTATGTAGAATCTTTTATTTTATTTTTACTTTATTTATTTTTTTGCATATTATTTTAATTTTAAAAATTCTTGCATAGGCATCCGGCGACGACATAAACACAAATCTATTGCCGTCGGCACCGGAATTGGGCGAGTTTTCCGAAGAGAATGCAATTCAGGTTTAACATAGCAAATTACAACTTTTTAAAAAGACAAATACAATGGCATTTTACGATATCCAACATTTACTATAGTAAAATACATGAAAAGTTTATTTTGTATTGTGTTACTGATCGTGTTTTGTTATTAATTCATGGGTTATTCCATCTGATTTTTTCGTATCTGTAGTGATATTGACTGGTAATTTAAAGCCGGTTAAAGCTGATTTTCGACTTAGCCGGTCGAGATGGTTTTTAAAATCGGCTAATCGGTTTTAAATTCTCGTGTATTCGAATCTCTGGCTAAGATTAATACAAATTCTAGAAGGTAGGCTATTGGTGAGAGAAAAAAATGCTGCGATCAAGTATATAATGTTTACGTTATCTGCTTACTAATTGAATAGTAAAGATATAATCGTAACATGATCGCGACATTTTTTGTAGCCAATAGGGGTACATTTAAGAGAGGTCAATCAACCGGAAAACAAAAGAATCAACAGGTAATTATATAGTTTAAAAAATTGTATATAAAATAAAATATATACTATATATTTTAAATATAGTATATATGTATTTATAATAAATTATGTTTTTAAAACATTTTAATAATATAAAGTATATTTTATATATAAAATATATAAATCTTATTTTATTATAAAATCAGTTTTTTTGACAAATTTTTTTATTTTATAGAATTTACAAGTTAAAGTATTTGTTTTATAATTTTTTTTTAATTTGTTAATAAAAAAGGTTAATTTTAATTAAAAAACAATATATATATAAAATAAATTTGTTATTTATTATTATTGGTAATTATTACTATTTAGTATATTATATTTTTTAAAAAAAAGGTAGAAAATATTTAGAATTTTTAAAAATTTCATATAATTTAAATTTTTACTATGGGGTTTATTTTATAGTACTAAAATATTGTAATTAATTAAAATTTAAGATTAGATATAATATATAAATTATCTATTTGTATAACAAAAATAATAAATTTTTAAGAAAGAAAATTGCTATTTTTATCTTTATTTTTGCTAATACCACTATCCAGATACCGAAAAGTGCTTTGAAAGAGGTATTGTTATTAAGCAAACCTTTTTTTGGTTTTAATAAAAGTTGTTTATCAGATCTTTCCAGTTCTAATAATTATAAAATCATTAAAATTAAACTTAGTTTTTTTTAAATATAATAAAAGTTAACAAACTTTAAATATAAATATCTTAGAAACTACTAGTTTAATTTTAATGATTTTATTATTATTAAAACCAAAAAGGCCTGATGACCAACTTTTATTAAGACTAAAAAAGTTTTTTAATAACAATATCTCTTCTGAAATACTTTGTTAAATTTTGGGGTAGTATTAGCAAAAATAAAAGTGAAAATAGCAATTCCCTTAAAAAATTAGTTATATTTTAAATTTTGAATTAATATAGTTATAAATTATTATAATTATAAGAGTGTTAATATTTATTTAAAGAGTAGAAGAATAAAGCCAAATCTTATTTTAATATAATCTTAAAATTTGATTAGTTAATAAGTTATAGTTATTGTTTACAAAGTAGATAATAATCAAAAATTAAATCTAAATTAGATGATTAGATAATGATAAAATTGCTACTAGCTACATAGTAGCTAGTAGTTTATTTAGGCTAAAAACTGGAAAAAAACTAAATTAACAATTTTTTAAAAAAGAATTTTTTTATATAAATTAGTTTAGAATAATATCAGAATCATTTTTTATCTAAAATACAAAAATAGTTGTATTAATAAAATTTTGCAGTATAGCTTTTTAGAGTTTTATTTTTCTTATAATCTATTATAAGATTTATAATACAAATATTAATTTTTTGAAAATCTTTTGTTTTGTCAATTTGGTTCTTTTTTTAGCATCTAGCCTATTTTATCATTATTTAATCATCTAATTCAAATTTGATTTTTAACTATTAACTGCTTTATAGATAATAACTAATTTATTTTTCCAATTCTTATTATACTTTTGTACTATTTTTTAAAATTAAAGTTATATATTTTATAAAGTTTTACCTTACTATAATCACAAGACTTTTTTTATTTTTTTATTTTTTTTTTATAGCAAACAACTTTTAGTTTTCATTAGCAATTTTAATAATTTAAAAAATTTAATATATCAATAAAAGTAAAAAAGATAAATAATTAAAAAAAAAATATAAAATTTTGGATTAGCTTAAATCTAAAATCCAGACAATAACTATAAAAAAATAATATAGAAATATAAATAAGAACTGGTGAATAAATATATTATCTAAAAAGAGAGAATAAAGTTTTATAATAAATAAATATTAAATAATAAATATTAAAGCTCTAATTAAAATTTTTTTTTTTTTTTTCAGTCAAACTCTTTCTAACGATCTCTTGGTCAACAAGTCCAAAAAACTAAACTATGGTTAGCACTATAGAAAACACTAAAGTAAATAATAAACTTGGTCCTACAAAAGTAGGTGTGTTGTCGACGAAGTACTAAAAGTATAAAACTGAGGAGTAGTCTACTTTGGACTGGTTTTGATAGAGGTTAAGCTTTGGTCAGACTCCTCTATTCTATTCGGTATTCAAACTAGAAGAATATTTTGAAAATACAGAGCATCTTGGATGATATTAGTAGTATTATAAACTTTGGGTTATCTCTATACAACTGTAAAACTTACAAGGAACAACCACAAAAAAGTTTTGTTTGCCTACTACTTTTGCTCGAGAAAATTTGTCAATAAAGTAGGCGTCTCAGTTTACTCTCTCCAAAAGATCAATATGTAAAATTACCAAAATAGTCAGTATTATTTATTTTCCCAAAGCAGATGTTTACGATGTATTGTTTATTTGTGGTAGCTTGGAGAAACTTGGTCACCCTTGAAATAAACTAGTAGACTGTGGTCAGGTGCATCAGAGTAGACTGAGTAGAAAACTCCTATGTACAGAAATGGTGTATCTGAGATACACGTTAGTGATATACCTCGACTTCTGTGAATTGCAAACAATACTTCAAGACTACAATTTCCTTCTAACTACTCTGTCTAGTTTTTCTAGTTTAGCTTAAAATGTTTTTTTCTTTATTAAATAGGTTTTTCAATATAGATATATATATTATTAGAGTAGAGTTAGATACAGAGCTTCTTTATTCTATTAATATTTAATTTTTTAAAGCCTGACATAGGCTTATAATTGTAATCTGTCAGATTTTGTTTTTCTTTTTACCCTCTTTTTTTTCGTCTCTGTATTTGTTTTTTAGTTTTAGTTTTCATTATTTTTTACTCTCCTTTTAATATTAATATTAGTGTTAGTATTTTTTTTAGTTTTTTTATTTTTCTACGAAAAGATGTCATCAGTTTGGTGGTATTTTATTGTAGGGTAGTGGTTTGACAGTACCTTCTGAGATAGATATAGTTTTTATTTTGAAGTTTATCATATTATATTCAAAGGGTCTGTATCATTTTATCGATACTCACTTCACCAATATGCTATTTCACCAACAATCAATTTACTGACAAGTTTATTTCACTGACAATTATTTTACCAACAGCATGTTTCACTGACAAGTTTTTATTATAAATTACACTAACCTTAACTTTAATTCTAGTCGGACCCTAACGACAATGACCAGAATTTCTTTGTTAGCAAAATAACTGTCAGTAAAATAATTGTTGGTGAAATAAACTTGTCAGTAAATTGATTGTTGGTAAATACCATGTCAGTGAAGTGAGTATTGGTGAAATCAAATAGAACTATATTCAAATAAATATTCTTGCTCAGTGCGGCCGGTTGCTTGTAAGTAGTATTGTATGTTTTGACTGTTCAAAGGCTTTTTTGGTACTGTCTAATGTCCAAGTATCCAAGTGTCCACAAGTGTTCAGAGCATGTTTAAGCTTTAAAATTAATAATTTTATTTAAAAAATATATTATTATATATTTTTTTATATGTTGAATATATTTTATTTAGAAATTAATATAGGTTATTTTAATAAAATTTTGAGTAATTTTAATTTATTTAATTGTCCAAAATTGTCTAAAGTGTCCAAACTTACTGTCTACAACTGTCCTGTGACAACACTGCTTGTAAGTGCTCTTTGAAGTAACTGCAAGCTATCAAACCATAAATTACATAGTGATGCAAAATAATTTGTATATTCTCATTCTAACCAATTGACAACCAGTAATAAAGAATATTGGTGAGATAGCCAAAATGAAAAAAAAAATAATAATAATAATTTTTGAATTAATATAGATATACCCATAGGGTATATTAAAATTTTTTGTACCCCTTCCACGTGTAATATAACAATCAGACGATATATAAACAAGTGATTATTGATAATCACAAATTCTTTTTTTCTAAATTCAAGGTTATGCTTACTGTTGTTTTCTTGGTTAACTAATAGAGTTTTTTTTCAGATAGATCTCACCTATCTTCTTAAAATAAGCTTCCAGCTTTGGGTATCGTTTTATTTTCTTCGTATTCTCAGGTAGGTTTCATTTGTCTTGGAATCACATTTCCAGTTTTGGGTGTTGTTTTCATTTTTTTTCAGCTTTGGGTATTATTTTGTTTTCTTCGCATTCTCAGGTGGGTTTTATTTGTCTTGGAATCATGTTTCTAGTTTTGGGCGTTGTTTTCATTTTCTCCTAGCTTTGGGTGTCATTTCGTTTTCTTCGCATTCTCAGATGGGTTTCATTTGTCTTAGAGTTATGCTTCCAGTTTTTGGCATTGTTTTTATTTTCTTCATGTTCTCGGGTAGTTTTGTGTTTGACTAATGCTTATTTCTTTTTTCAGGTGGGTCTTACTTGTCTTGGATTCCGGATTTCTGGTTTTGGCATTGCTTCATTTTCTTCGTATTCTCAAGTGGATTTTACTTGTCTTGGAACTAGAGCTCCTGGTTTTGGGCATTGTTTTTGTTTTTTTCATGTTCTCAGATGGGTTTCATGTTTGACTAATACACATTTTTTTTCAGGTAGTTTCGCTTGTCTTGGAATCAGGACTTCTAGTTTGGGCGCTGTTTCATTTTCTTTGTATTCTCAGGTGGGCTTTACTTATCTTCGTAAAATTAGACTTCTAGTTTTAGATGTTGTTTTTTTTATTCTTCAGCCTATTTCTTTTTCAGGTGGGTTTCATCTTCCTTCTTGGAATCAGGCTTCTGGTTTTGGGCATTTTATTGTGTTCTCAGGTGGGTTTTATTCGTCTTTTTGGAACTAGGCTTCTTTTCTTGATATTTTTTTCATTTCTTCATATTTAACTAATGCTCTTTTTTTTAGGTGAATTTTGTTTTTTTTTGGAATTGGCTTTTGTATAGTCAGAATATTTTCATGTGGTTTTCTTCAAAGGAATTTCTTTTGGCTTTTGTCTTGTTTTGGTATAAATTTCACTAATGAGTTGTTCTTTCTACTTAATTGCCAGCATGGTGACATGGTTAGATTATTGGGGCCTCTATTTTTGAACTTATTTTGTTGTACCATGGTTACGTTAGGGTTAGTGTAGCAAAAGTTAAGGTAGTTTGATATCACTTTTGCTTAGAGTTGTAAAATTACCATAGTTTTACGTAATTTTTGTAATTTTGTGTAAGTTTTCAGTAACATAGTTTTCATGTAATTTGTAAGAAATGTGATCATATGCTTATATGATGACTAGATCATATGTACATCGATTTGATCGAACTTTATACAAAATCTACTGTAGTTCAATAATGCTGGCTGAGTTTTTTATAGTGCTAGCACTATATATCACGTGTGAAATTTACATAAAATCCATGTTAATGAAACTTCATAAAATTACATATAATATAAGTTTGTAAAATGTAATTTTTAACTCTATATTTGTTGTTATGATGTGATTATATTAAGGTTAGTATAGCAAAGTTAGCTACTATTTTTATGGCTAACATTAGGTAGTATAGTGCCATTGTGCTGTGATCATATCATGCTTGAAATTAGCATTTGCAGTTGCAGCTGCCTGCTGCATTACACCTGATTCTCAAAATTTGATTTATAGATTAGATGATCTATGTCATTAACTAAGTACAGATTTTCTGAATATAACAATGTAATCCTTTATTTCATGTATTTAGAGTTAGGGTAAAAAGAAAAAGTTATAATAAAATTTTGCAAGGAAGTTTTTGTTAGATTACAAAAGGTAGTTTTATATGTAAAATATTGAGTTATGAGCGATTTTTGACAAAATGAACGTTTGTTTAAATTTCTTTAATTGTATTACGTTATACAGGGATGATACTCTATCACATGATGTGGGTATATATACCCTTGGGTATATGTATATAATCCTATAATTTTTTTATAATCTTAATAACTTTTTTAATAATTATTTGTACTAAACTTATAATTAACAAAAACAAAAACTTGTTAGAAAAAGTAAAAAATAACTTTACAAGTAATAGTTTTTTTAAAGATCAAGATTTTTTTCTTCTTGATTATTAGACTTCTTTGTATATTTAGTAAGCAAATTAAAAGTGTTTTTGAATAAGATAACTAGCAAGAAGGTGATACTTATATATAAAAATTTTAATAAAAATATAACTTTTGTTAACAAAGTGAAAAGATAGTTAGTCTATAAGGAGAACAACAAATAAGTTTTTAATATACTTTTTATCAAAGTTTAAAGCTATCTGCAAACCAAAATTTTCTTTACTACCCTACTTGCTATACTTTATAAAATTTTACCAAAAAGTGAAAAATTCAATATATTTTTATCAAAAAATTAATACTAATAATCCCTATTGAAAAAAAAAATATATATATTATGTTTATTTTTTTTTATTTTTTTTTTTTCAGTGTTAAGATGACCTCTTGGTCAAGTGTGCTTTATTGATTTCGAATGTATTATACATATTTGGAGTGTACATCTAGTCATATCTGTACTTTTTGAATACCTATTTAAGTAGTCTGCCTATTACTAGATTCTACACTAGTTGCTGTATCTGCAACTCACTAGAGGGTTACCCATATAAACCCTCTGTGCCTATATACTTCGACACCTATATCACTCGGCAACCATTTCTTTAGTTCTATAAACCGGTCTCCTTGGTGCATGTTTACATAATGACTTAGGACTTTAAAGCAGACCTTTATCACCTTTGTAACCTACTTCTGGTCCTTTATCCTTAAGATAAACCTGGTAGAGCCTGCAGTATTCCCACTTTATACTGCATCTAGCCTGCACTTCAGTTTGGTACGCAAGGCCGTAGCCTATTACTTGTGGCTCAGTTTTGCCTATTCTGAGAGTATGTGTGGTGCCAGGTCAAGGTCTTTGCCTATAGTTTTTCTCCAGCTTAAACTTTCTCCTGCTTCTTTTTATGATTTAACCTCAGTTTGGCTAAATTCTACTATCCGAATCTACTTCTGCCTTTGTAAAGTTCACTCAAACCCCAGAACTTACTTCACAGTATATCCCCAGTACTTTAATAACCCAGCTCCCTTTATCCAGACTTCCAATCCAGATAGTCTGGTATGTAATCACTTATTTTTCTTTGATTCGACGGCAGCCTAGTTGATTTTGGCGATTTCATCTATTTGTCAATAGCAGGGACCCAACCTGGTTCTCAACTTTCAAGCTAGATGGCCTAATAACTATATACTTTTTCTCTGCGGCTAGACAGGTACCCCGAAGAGCAGCTAGTAGGTCTTCCACCATCGCCATGATTTGCCTGCAATTACAAAGGCTCTTTAGCTAGATTTCCAGTCCTCTTTCCTATTTGCAGCAGCTTGGTTAGTATGGGCGCTTCCCAAACACCCTGTATTTTATTCAGTTCAGTTCATATGGGTTCTGTTTTCTGGGTCTAATCTTTATAGTAGCTCCATCAAAGATCTGTACTACCTCTCTACTCAGAACTTGCCAAGTGGGCTTCTATATTCCAGTTCTCCAGATTTACACAGCCCAGGGGCTTATCTTGTATTTGCACTATCCTATTATTAGTTTGTATTCTTTTGTATAACTTTATATCACATGAATGCCCCAAACCTCTCAGTCTTGCTAGTATGATTGTAGTTACAAGTATCCTATCCCAACTAATCATCGAATACAGTTAGCCGTAATACAAATAGAATTTTCGAATTTTTGTCACTAGTAAGATTCGAACTCTTGACCTGCTACTTGGAGGAGTGACAACTTGACCACTTTGCTATGTCACCATATCTCTATATTATATTTATTTTAAAATAAATAATGTTGCAAAGATATTAAAAATAAATAATATTAAAAATTATATGATCATATAATAATCTTCTATATAAACAAATCTAAAATACACTAAATCAATCAAAGAGTTTAAATAGAGAATTCATAAGCAGATCTTAGATATAACAATTGGTGGATAACTAACTATAGATAGTATAACGAAGCTCTTAATTAGATAATGACTAAGTTGTATATATGGCTAATTATACTTTTGTTGATGTAACAAAGTTAAGAAATTGTCTATTCAGTAACTCTGATATTTAAACCATTAAGTTAATAAACTGTATTAGACCCCAAGTGGTCACCTTAATATTTAATTGATAATTTGTAAGTCAACTAAACAAACTATATAGTAAAACATAACTCAAATTATTATATAAATTATATATGTCTCAAATACAATGATTGTTCAAGAAAAACTTTTTTTCTTATTAAGCTAATTGACCTTCTGCATTAAAAGAAAGTTGTAGAGATCATTAAGATGTATTTAATAGTTGTTAGATCATCCAAATCAGCCTAGTAGATATTAAGATATCATTAAAAAACATGTTATCGACTATGTAAAATTTTTATAAAAACAATATATTGTTTCTATAAAAATTTTATATAAGTCATTAATATATTTTTTAATGATATCTTGACATCCACTAGACAAATTTGAATGATCTAACTACTATTAGATGCATCTTAATGAGCTCTACAACTTTCTTTTAATACAAAAAGTCAATTAGCTTAATAAGAAAATGATTTTTTTGAACAATCGTGACATTTGAAATATATATAATTTATATAGTAATTTGAGTTATATTTTACTATATAGTTTGTCTAGTTGACTTACAAATCATCAATTAAAAAAAAACAAATCTAAAGTATTTATAGAATCTAGTATCATCAACTAAAAAATTTTACTATTAATATTAGGATTAGAGTTTAAGCATAACTATATTTTAATTATTTTAATAAAATTAGATATAATATATATAAAATTAAAAAAAACTTTTTATATCTAACACTAATTCTAATACTAATAGTGATAGTAATTTTAGATATTTATACAAAAAATTATCATATAATTATGTGATTTTAGCATTACTTGTTTTTAGTATCATCTATGACAAATAATATATAATTAATTGTTTGCTCTCTAAAGTCTATAATAGAAGTTTTAACTCAGTTGATTACTTAAGCTTAAAATAAAAAAAAATTTATATTACAGAAGTTTTGTTAGAAGTGCAAATAGAAATTTTGAACTTAAATTTTTACTCAAGAACAGATAGTTTTGATAATATTTTTATATTCTGAATATAGATATAAATAGCTAGTATAGAGTTTAAACTAATCTATTTAGTAATACTATATATATAATTTTATAATCTTGTACAGGTTTAATAGTACTATCATTGTTTTTTTTTTGTTTTATTTGATTTCATTTGTTTAAGTAAATCAAATTTGAATATTAAGATATCTTTTTTTTTGTTTTATTCTGTGAATTTGTATCAGTACTTCATTATTATAAAAAAAATTGATACTGATATAGTATATAATATTAGCTAATAATTAAAAATTCAAGCCTCTAGTAAGTTAGAAGCCTGAAGAGAGATAAAGAGCCACTATACAATATTATATCTAGGTTTATAAGTTTAGTAAGTTACTTGTTGTGATTAAATAGATAATAGCTATAGATAAAAATTTTTGTAATTTTAGAATAGCTTATATTTTAATAAATAGTAGCAAAATATATTGAATTAAATTTTTTTTGTTAGAATTAAGATAAAATAAAAATAGTATTTAAATAAAAAAATATTTTAAAATAAAATTTAGTAAAGATATAATAATTATATATATTCTCTCTAATGATCACTTATATCAAACTTATGATTAACAAAAACAAAAAACTTTTTGAAAAAAGTAAAAAAGGTGACAATACAAGTAATAATTTTTACAAAGGTTAAGGTTTTGTTTCTGCTTCAAACTTAACAAGCAAGTTAAAAGTATTTCTATACAAAATA